CTGCTTTGACGTACTTGTCCGTCTTCAGGTCGAGCTTGTCCTCATCAACAGCTCTCAGGCTCAGCTTCGCCTCATCTTCCTCCTCGATAGCTTCTTCGAGGTCAGGGGCGTCCTTGGCCTTCTTCATCGGTGCTTGAACATTGCCGGATTTCATGAAAGGAACAGGGTGGGACATTTGATTGTACCTATATGAAGCATGTCAGTGTGATGAGTCTGGGTCATGAAGAGAAGTGATACATACGTCCTTGTGAAGTGTGCCTTTGTCTGCGTTTCGAGTTTGATGCGAGACTCATCCTGCGGTCCCACACCTAACTCCTTCATCGCATCAAAGTCATCGCGAGTCAAGTAGTAGCTGTCCATAAGATCGATAATGTCCGAGACACTGTCCTTGCCCTCAATGTCAAGGCGGCGGATAATCCGTTCCCACAGGACAGGAAGGTATTGCTGGCGAATCTCATTCGCGTCACCAGAGGACCTCAGTCGCATATGAGCATGAATCTCACGGATGAATCGGTTGAGCTTGCCCGTCTTGCTGTTGTTGCCAAGCCACGAGGTAAAGTTGGATCCCATGAGTTGGCCGGCGATGAAACTGGCAGGGCGTACGGTACTGAAGATTGCATGCGTTGGCATGAGACTCCACTGTTGCTGCGGTCCGTGGATCATGCGATCGACGAGATCACCGTCACTGATGCTCTCTGCCGCTTGATCAAAAAGTTCGAGCGCCTTGAGGTTCTCTTCCCTTTTGTTGTAACCTCTGTTGTTCAACGCCATGGGCTTACATCGAAGATAGTTTTCCTGGATCATCAGGTAGCTGAACTCATGATCGTTGAAGTAGAGCTCAATCTTGTCATTGAGCGTGGCATTGCTAGAAGGCGCGAAGAGGCCGCCTCCGAGCATCTTCTGGCAAATGTCCCAGGGCTTCAGAACGACATGCTTCTCCCAAGCCTTGGTCATGGCCTTGCCTTGGTCGAAATCCATGGCTGACTGGTCGAGTTTTGCTGTCGAAATCATGTTGATGATTTGACGAATATCCTTGTTGCTGCCTTCGATCAACGCATCGACCACTGGAGGGGGAAGCTTTAGTCCCTCCCTGTGGCAGATGGTCATGATACGAGATCGAACCTGATCGACTGTCGGTCGTCGGAACTGAATGTCCATGGCAACATGATCGAAGGGCTTCATCTTGGGCAAACGACGCTCGTTGCAGATGAGAATCAGAGGCACTTCTGTCTTTTTGCAGTACTTCGCCAGAGCTCCGACACCGCCGCGATCACCGGCCGACATGCCGTCAACCTCGTCCATAATCAGGACTATGTTCTTCTTGCCGGCATCTAGCTTCTTTCCGTCGCCAGAGAAAGAAGCCGAGTAGCGAGGTGTTGTTCATGACTTCGCTGACACCTTCCTCCACCAGCCTCTTGCTTCTGGTGTCGCTTGCGTTGCTCTCAATGACGTCGAACC